TAAACCCTAAACCCTAAACAGTTCTGTCAAGGGACGGGAGGGATTCCGAAGCTTCCCGGGGCCTCCGAAGCTTCCCGGGGCGTGCCCTTCTGTGTTGAGAACCAAGGCTTCCACACGAGAAAAGAGCCGTGGCTCACTTGGGTGACCCGGCCCAGATTGGCAACATGTTCGCTGACAGTAAGGGCTTAGCAAGTTGAGCATGGTTTTGGAGTAGATGATATTAAAGATGCCTACCTGTATAGGGGTCCCAAATCATTCTGACATTGGCAGTATTGCTAACGCGGTACAAAAGTTGAGAAGGCTTTCTCAAGACACGCGGCGCACTTGCCCGTGCCTGCCTGGACGAGCTGAGCTCAGCATGCGGTCCGGAAGTCAAGCTCTAAAACCCTCGGGTTCAAACGTTGAGAGCTTTTGCATTTTAAGGTGTAGGGCTTAGGAAGCCCAAGCCCTTCAGAAGTCAGCACCAGCTTCGCGTGTGCAGGTCATGCCTTGGCAAAATGACATCCTCACGAAGCAACTTGGATTTGGACAGGAAGAGAGGACCAAGAACCTCCGCTTTCCGAACATGAGATTTTGGGCTGTGCCGCACGTTAGGCTTCAGTTGGCTTTCAGGGTGTACGGTTTTGAATGGGCCTCTGCCACGACACATTTGTCAACGCAAGGCGGTCTAGCATAGGCCCATGCCGGTCAAGCGATCCTTCTGTTAAGGTTCTTACCCGAAAGCCTTGACACCTTCGAGCCTGAAGCCGCAAAACTAAGATTCTTGTTCGTAAACACTCACCCTTGCAGTTGGCTGCGGGACAGCCGCTGCTCGAAAGGAAATTTGCGAAACCAGAAAGCCCCAAAGACCACGTGACAACACTCCCCGAGGTGCCCAGTCTTGCCTTGCCCGATGTCTGCAACGGAACTGAAATCCAAGGCTCAAATCATTTGCTTGCAAAAAAGTTTTCATGAGGAAGCTGGTACCCTCTATTATGGATGACGGAGTGTTAGTGTCATCTTAACACGCCAGAGCTGTAAAGTCCAAACTAAAGCTCCCTGAAGTTCTGGAGCCTGAGTTTCGCTGCGACCAGGTTGGGGGATCCGTATGTGCGCCTTTTCCGACAGGGCACCAAGCATACTCGGCTGACGAGGACCAGCTAGCATGCGTAGCCGGCTTCGCCTCCTTGAAACTCTTGGAACTCAGATGGGAGCTGAGGCGAGGCTCATTGCGGTGCGCTAAGAAAGGGTTATGCGGCATTCCATGCCAGTTTCAAGCAGGATTGTCATGGCATTCTGAGCTTGATCCCCGGAGACCACAACAAATGTGTCTCAGCGCGAATACGACGATTCGTCGGAGATCCTGTCGGGCTAGTTAGGAATCTTCAACAAATCTCGTCGGATCGAGTTCACGTCGTAGCTACGTACTTCCTGCCGAAGGCAGGCACAAAGCATACACCACTCTAGCAGATGTGCAAAGCGATATACCGATGCAGACAAGCGCCCGGCACAAGCCCAAAATCTAGCAAGAATACTACCACATACCCCAACACCCCGTTCTAACTATTCAGGCCGCGATATCATGGAACCTGTCCGAAACCCCTTGAAGAGCCCTTGAAAGCAACACTGTTCTAGTTATCAAGGCTCCTCTATACCATAGAACTCTTACAGAACCGGTTAAGCTATCATATCGGAGTACATTGAAGTTTGCAGGACCCTCGACAAATACGAGCCCTTCCAGATGCCTCGCCTCCCGGATCGAAGTTGAACCTCAATTTGGAGGGGGTCCATGGAAAGTAACCCAGATGAACAGAATTGTTGTTCCCAGTTATATTGTTGTTATTACATGGGAGCTTGTTAGAATCAAGAAACCCGTGAACTAAACTGGACCCTCATTCTGTAAAAAGATCAATGCGGTTCGGGCTTGAAGAAAAAAGGGCAGTAAAGTGCAGACGAAGCTTGGAAGCTTAGCCTGTGTGATGAAGCTTCGCTTCCATTCGCCTCTAGCTTCTGGCCTGGCGTGGTCTCAAGCAGATGCATCCAGCGCCTTAAGGTTTTAAGGTTTCACAGCCCAGGTCTCAGGGCAAACGACACTGAGGCCGGCACATGGTGCTGAAGGGTTCTCCAGGGGTTAGGAGAGGTTTCGATCTGTCCATCTCTCTCTGTCTTCGTCTTTCTCTCTCGCTCTTTGTGTCTGTCTCATACTTCTCCCTTTGCGCGAGGGCGTCGTTGCTTGTGTGCGCATGTGTGAATACGTCCGCCTGCGTGCGCATGCGTACATGTGAATTTTATGGATCAGCGAGCTTACAGTGCAAACGTAACTCGCAACGTCAAACAAATTCAGCTAAGCGAGAGTGCGAACTGCAAACTTGTCCCTAGACCCTACAACGCTAAACTTTCGAGCGTTGCTTCCCCCTGGCCCAGAAAGTGAAGAAGCGCGACGGCCAGTCTTCCTTGCTACTTCCACTTCCTTACATTGGCTTCCACAGGATGAGCAGCGGGGACTCAGGGGAGAGGCATGTGGGGAGAATGCTGTTTAGCAGAGGGATCGTAGATTGTTGAGGTCGGAATAACTCGGAATAAAGATCGCTTATCGTCACTCATATAGTTATAGTAGAATCTACCCCAAAATCCATTCTGATGGTGAAGTACGCTATATTCGGGTTTTACAGGGGGGGGGGAGGCATTTTCGGGGTTTCGTCAGACTTCGGGAGTTTGGGTTTCCAGGGGTTGAGATTTGATGGAAGGGTCCTGAGGCCATCGTTGCAAAGAGGCTCTGGACTTGGGAGTGGGTGTGGATGACGGTTTCGAGAATGGTTCAGGGTTGACGGCTTCAGGTTTTGGGGGTTCGCATGCTGAAGCTGCGTCTTGTCAGGACGAGACTATCAAATCATGCTTGGTGTCCTTTCCTGCCAGGAGCTTTAGGCCTCGAAAGTGACACCAGACCCTGTTCGAGCGAGAGTCTTTCACAATCCTCACATGCAACGTAAGCAATATCGTCCAAGTCCCAGGCTTGCGCACCTATAATCTAGAACCAGGTCCTATTCAAGAGGATCCCTGATGGTAAGAAGAAGAAGAAGAAGCGCCTCCATCCATCACGGGCCAAGGAAAATTTCGAGTCGTCACGAAGGAGGTCTGCATGCTTTTTCTTCTTGTGCTTCGCAAACAGCCCTACACCCCAAACCCCGCCACATATAATCATAAGAAGCGTCCAAGGGGCCTCTGGGCTAGGAACCGACATTCAAGGAGTAGAGCACAGCGTCCCGGTCTGTCAGAGTGCGGTAGCGCGAAACCCTTAGGACATAAACCGATTCAGGTCGCCGATGTTTCGCCATGTACTTCGTTGCTACGGGTCCTCTCTACGAACACACTGGAAGCCTTTGCAGGGTCTATAGGGTGCTCGACTTTCGGAGTGAGGGTGTAGAGCTCAATTTGGGGCCGCTCCGCTTGGCACACGGGTTTGAAAGTTCTTAGGGGAGATACTTCGGAATCCGATGCTGCTCTCCCCGACTCATCGCTTCGGACACCGCTACACCACGAGTATTGTAACCATGCAAAACAATAAGATTACAGCTAAGCACGACTCTTTTCATCTTCGTACCTGAACTTACTGCATGCCAGCTGACCGAACTCAGAACAAACCATACATGTTGCAGAACAGTTGTTATTTGGCCACGTCTCCGCAGGGCATGTACAAGGACATCAGCATCTTCTCCGGGAAGGCTGTGCAGGGGTTCAAGACGCCTCGCATCGCAAGGGTCCTCACATCATGGCAGGACAAGCAGCTACAACTCGCTTGCTCGTTCGTTCATCCTTTCCTCCTTCACCTTTGTGGTTTGCAATGGCGAAAGCGCATGAGCATGAGACAATTCTCAGCCAGGTTTGGCTGGGAAAGTACCGAAAGCAATCTGGGAGGACACTGCACCAGATCCCGTGCCAACCCTGAAACACAAAGTCCTCGACAGCCAGACACGCGAAACAGCCAAACTCGGGGGGCCCTGAACCTTGCACACCAAAGCCTCAAGCCTAAAAGCCTACCCAAGGCCTTAGATCCTACACCTTGACCTGCCCACCGTCCTGCAGGCTGGTGCGCAGGCCGAGGCTCGCGCACAAGAGCCTGAGGACGCTGAAGAGGAGGCTGAAGGCGACCGATCAGTGCTTCAGGGCCCTTTGGAACTTGATTCAGGGTCTAAAGAGTGTTTTGGGTTTAGAACGATGGACTGAGAATTTAAAGGACTTTACAGGTTAAATGGTCCTCGTGCCGGGTCCTGTCGCTCAATAGAAGCTGGGTGAAACGCACCTTTGGTCCGCTTACTCCTCAGCCAATGCTTCGTAGACAGACTAGTAAGTAAGTACGTGAGTAAGTAAGAAAGGAAGCAAGCAAGTAAGTAAGTAAAGTAAGTAAAGCAAGTAAGCAAGTCAGCAAGTAAGTAAGTAAGTAAATAAATATGTATGTATGCACGTACCGATAAGGAGAGCGAGAGAGATAGAGCAGAGCGCGTGCGCCTAAATCTGTAGGATAGGAGAGAGCTTTCTTTGCATGTGTATCCTGTGTACGTGTGTGTATATATAGACAGAAGGTATGTATATATGTTTGTGTGTATATATATATACACACTTCTATTATAAATACATACATGTATACATACATACATACATACATACATACATACATACCTGAACGGATATGTACTGCAGATAGGTAGATAGATCGACAGATGACAGGCAGATTCTCTACGTATGCGTATGCATCCGTATATGTGTATGTATACATATATATATATATACACACTTATCTATTTATTTATGTGTTTGTGTGCGGGTAGAACATGTATATAGTACATATGTATGTATGTATGCATGTATGTATGTGCATGTGCGTACATATACATATGCATCTACACAGTCTCGGTTGCCCGTTTGCGTTTGCTCGGTGCTATGGTGCATTTGGTTCAGCATTCTCGTTTCTACCCCGACCTCATTTTCGAAAAACCATACAACCGGAGGTGGTCTTCTTCCAGTTCTGCTGCTGACTTTCAAGCCACAGTCTTCAGTGATGCTTCCCAGGAGCGGCGGAAGAGCTGTCGACACCCGCAGTCACTGCACCGGAGGCAGAAGAGGCAGCGACTCGGGCCTACTCCTTGCAGCTTGGGAGGTTCACGGTCGGATTTGATATTCGGGGAGGAAGAAAAGAGTTGCATCCCCCTCGTTCTTGTACACGCGACACTGATGGCGTGGCTTCTGAATCTGAGTTTTCCTGTTGTGTTGCTTGCAGCTGAGGCTGGCTTTACTGGGTGCTGTAGCTGCCTACTAGAGACCCCTGACGCCGAACCATACCCGAGCCCTCGACCTCAAGCTCCACGGGTCTTTGTCTCGTCCGTGAGTCGGTACCGAGGCTTCAAAGCAACACGCCTTTGCAATATAGGGGCTGGCACAACCCGTCTGCAAAGGCACCGAACAGATGGAGGGCAAAGCAGTGCACACAGCCGGTAAGGAACTCGCACCAAAAGACTGGAAACCCTTCAAAGAGGCTCCTGCGGAAGACCTCCCAGCCTCTCAGGTACCTGAGGCTGACACAGCGGAGGGTTTCTTGGCGCGGTCTTCTCGATGCTGTGAGATATGTTCCCGCGGCTGGTTGGCTTGTGATCCTGTCACTTTTGTTCTGTCTTTGCTCTAGCGCAGATTCATACCTGAAAGTTGACTTGCGCGCCTGCCGTGGTTTTGGACCCTCAAAGTTGCAACACCCCCAAACCCAATTCTCAGTACTAAGGCCCCTATATTAGTCTTTTTGTCGCGAGGGCTCGCGCACCTTCTTTACCGAGTTCGGGGCGTCCCATGGAAGTTCATGGCGGTCTGTTTCTGCACTTCACGGCGGGATTAGGACTGCTCTAGGCCCATGAGCAACCACACTAGGGCAGAACCTCCCGAACTTGAGATCGTTTGAGTCGGATCATGCGTTCAGTGTAGGAACGAGGGTTAAGGCTACCTTGGTGCCAAGGTTGGGTTTCAGCGCTTAGAAGTTCGAAGAGGGACCCGCCTGGGCCGTGACCCACCGTGGGTGCTCCGACAGGTCAGGGGAAACTTGGGCCCCTCGTTTCTCAGCTCCGAGGCCTCCAACTCGACAAAGGTTCACAGTGTGTGATGTGTCGAACACCGTTCTCTGGCTACAACCCGTATCTTCTAACAGTACGAGCATGTTGTTTTATGTTATGTCATGATATATTACAGTATCGATGCAGTTGGGGTCAAGTGATAATGGGTTACACCATTGTACCCGTAGATTAAGCTCCATCTGCCGACCGCGAACTGAGAACTTAACCTGGCAAGTCCGAGTGTGAGAGCCCGAACCCTACACCCTGCGCCACACAACGCCATTTTCTCAATGTAAAACTTCTTCGAAGCCTCCACCACAGCGATTGTGTGGGGGACCCTAAACCGCACCAACGGGAGGCTCATAAGAATGGGGTTTCTTGAGGTGTGTATATATATATATATATGGTACCCCCCCCAAGGACCTACCTCCAAACCTGTCTGTCTACATAAATGATACTACACTTTA